TTCAGCCTCACTTTCACTAGATGCACTTTTCTTGCTTTTCTTTTGCTTCTTCTCTTTCTTGTGTTTATGAGAATTTTCCTGTTTCTTCTTTCTTTCTTTTTTTTATTTCTCTTCAGAAGCACTTTCAGAATCAGAAGAGGACTGAGAATTGCTTCAATCTACCTGAATCGCTGGATGAAGAAGAGGAAAAGGATGATTTATGCCTTTTCTTTTTGTCTTTCTTAGCAAGACCACTCTCTTCCAACAACACAAGAGAAGACTCTACACATGGACCTCATCAGATGGTCAATACCAAAATCAGACTGATTATATTCTTTGCAGCCAAAGATGGAGAAGCTCTATACAGTCAGCAAAAAAAAAAAAAAAAAACCAAAAAGCAAGACTGGGAGCTGACTGTGGCTCAGATCATGAACTCCTTATTGCCAAATTCAGACTTAAATTGAAGAAAGCAGGGAAAACCACTAGACCATTCAGGTATGACCTAAATCAAATCCCTTATGACTATACAGTGGAAGTGAGAAACAGATTCAAAGGATTAGATCTGATAGACAAAGAGTGCCTGATGAACTATGGATGGAGGTTCATGACATTGTATAGGAGACAGGAATCAAGACCATCCCCAAGAAAAAGAAATGCAAAAAAGCAAAATGGCTGTCTGAAAAGGCCTTACAAATAGCTGTGAAAAGAAAAGTGAACAGCAAAGGAGAAAAGGAAAGATATACCCATTTGAATGCAGAGTTCCAAATAATAGCAAGGAGAGATAAGAAAGCCTTCCTCAGTGATCAGTGCAAAGACATAGAGGAAAACAACAGAATGGGAAAGACTAGAGATCTCTTCAAGAAAATTAGAGATACCAAAAGAACATTTCATGCAAAGATGGGCACAATAAAGGGCAGAAGTGGTATGGACCTAACAGAAGCAGAGATTAAAAAGAGGTGGCAAGAATACACAGAAGAACTATACAAAAAAGATATTCACGACCCAGATAATCACGATGGTATGATCACTCACCTAGAGCCAGACATCCTGGAATGTAAAGTCAAATGGGCCTTAGGAAGCATCACTATGAACAAAGCTAGTGGAGGGGATGGGATTCCAGTTGAGCTACTTTAAATCCTGAAAGATGACGCTGTGAAAGTGCTGCACTCAATATGCCAGCAAATTTGGAAAACTCAGCAGTGGCCACAGGACTGGAAAAGGTCAGTTTTCATTCCATTCCCAAAGAAAGGCAATGCTAAAGAATGCTCAAACTACCACACAACTGTACTCATCTCACACACTAGTAAAGTAATACTCAAAATTCTCCAAGCCAGGCTTCAACAGTATGAGAACTGTAAACTTCCAGATGTTCAAGCTGGATTTGGAAGAGGCAGAGGAACCAGAGATCAAATTGCCAACATCTGTTGGGTCACGGAAAAAGAGAGTTCCAGAAAAACACCTATTTCTGCTTTATTGACTATGCCAAAGCCTTTGACTGTGTGGATCACAACAAACTGTGGAAAATTCTTAAAGAGCTAGGAATACCAGACCACCTGACCTGCCTCTTGAGAAATCTGTAGGCAGGTCAGGAAGCAACAGTTAGAACTGGACATGGAACAACAGACTGGTTCCAAATCTGGAAAGGAGTACATCAAGGCTGTATATTGTCACCCTGCTTATTTAACTTATATGAGAGTACATCATGAGAAATGCTGGGCTGCATGAAGCACAAGCTGGAATTAAGATTGCCAGGAGAAATATCAATAACCTCAGATATGCAGATGACACCACTCTTATGGCAGAAAGCAAAGAAGAACTAAAGAGCCTCTTGATGAAAGTGAAAGAGGAGAGTGAAAAAGTTGGTTTAAAGCTCAACATTCAGAAAACTAAGATCATGGCATCTGGTCCCATCACTTCACAGCAAATAGATGAGACAGTGTCAGACTTTATTTTGGGGGGCTCCAAAATCACTGCAGATGGTGACTGCAGCCATGAAATTAAAAGACGCTTACTCAAGAAATGGCAAGTGCTCGGGCCTGGTGCACTGGGAAGACCCAGAGGGATCGGGTGGAGAGGGAGGTGGGAGGGGGGACCGGGATGGGAAATACATGTAAATCCATGGCTAATTCATTTCAATGTATGACAAAAACCACTACAATGTTGTAAAGTAATTAGCCTCCAACTAATAAAAATAAATGAAAAAAAAAAAAAGAAGAAGAAATGGCAACCCACTCCAGTCCTCTTGCCTGGAAAATCCCATGGGAGGAGCCTGGTAGGCTACAGTCCATGGAGTTACAAAAAGTCAGACATGACTGAATGACTTCACTTCACTTCATTCCTTGGAAGAAAAGTTATGACCATCCCAGACAGCATATGAAAAAGCAGAGACATTACTTTGTCAACAAAGGTCCATCTAGTCAAGGCTATGGTTTTTCCAGTAGTCATGTATGGATGTGACAGTTGGACTGTGAAGAAAGCTGAGTGCCGAAGAACTGATGCTTTTGAACTGTGGTGTTGGAGAAGACTCTTGAGGGTCCCTGGGACTGCAAGGAGATCCAACCAGTCCATTCTAAAGGCGATCAGTCCTGAATATTCACTGGAAGGACTGATGCTGAAGCTGAAACTCCAATACTTTGGCCACCTGATGCGAAGATTTGACTTTATTTGAAAAGACCCTGATGCTGGGAAAGGCGGGAGGAGAAGGGGATGACAGAGGATGAGATGGTTGGATGGCATCACCGACTCAATGAACATGAGTTTGGGTAAACTGTGGGAGTTGGTGATGGACAGGGAGGCCTGGCGTGCTGCAGTCCCTGGGGTCGCAAAGAGTTGGACACAACTGAGCAACTGAACTGAACTGAGCAAGACCACATACATCTGGGCCCAGATAGATTTCTTCAGTAGTCTTTCTGTTTTCTTTAGACTTGGAAACTAGCTCCCCACAACTAAGTATCTGCATCTCAGCAAATGGTTTACTAGCTGCATCTGTTTTCTGGTTTTCTCTCTCTCACAACTTTTTGACCATAAATCACTTGCCTAAAAACAACATGATACCCATCTAAATGAGCTTACTTTGTTGTTATGAAGAACTGTGAGGCATCTGTATTCTTCCCATGGATACACTGAAGGGAAATTCTTTATTGTGTTTAACAGCAAAATTCTCATCTTCAAAAAATCCTCCTTAAATGGATACCCCTCCCTGTCCATTTCCTTCACTGAAGTCACCACCTTGAACCTTTGACAACTCGGTGAAAGAGACAACTTTTATAATATAATGGCTTCTGAGTTGATTTCCCAGTCCCCTTTTCACCTGTACAAAGACAAGGAAAGTTCTCGCATGTTTTGGGGCACACATCAGAAAATAATTCAAAGATAACTCTTCCAGCAGGTTGATTATTAATGGTGATGTCAAAGAAACATCTAGGATGCTGAACCTTTATTCCCATGGTGTCAATACTTTGACATCTGAGTAAAATACAGTTTCAAGTGAACACCCTTTAAATAGGGAAAAATCAAGGACAAACTGATCCAATTTATTTTGCTCCTGATTATCTTTTATCTTCTAAATAACTTGTGCAGGCCTTCTTAAATTCTTTGCACCAGTCCAGTCTCCTCTTCCCAGGGTCTGGCCCTTTAAAGCACTTCAAATCTACCACCACCAGAAAAGGCACTAAAGACTGTACTATGGTTTTAATTTTTACTTCTGTCATTTAGGTTTCCTCTTCTTTTCATGTCTTTTACTCCTTTTAAAAAAATCTCTTATTGATTTATAGTATTTCTTTATATATTGTGGACCATATTCTTTTGCTGATAACATGTTTTCTCCTTTAGGTCTATGGCTTCATTTTTCATTTTCATGCTTTCTTTAAGAAGCAGTTTTATATGTTAACTAAAAAAAAAATAATTGGTTTCTTCTTCATAGTTCAACTTTTTGTGTCTCATTTAAAAACTTCTTCCCTAATCCAACATAAAAAATTTATTTTGTTTTCTTTTAAAAGCTTAAAAATTTTTCTGTTCTTGTTTAGGTCTTTCAACTCACCTGGAAATGTTTTTTGTTCATCTTTATAAAGACCTGTTTTTTTTTCCACATAATCAGTTTTCCCAGTTCATCCTTTCAGTGTCATCTCTGTCATGTATTTAATTTCCTATCAAAGACTCAGTTTCGACTCAGTTGAAATGTCTGTCCCTACTTCAACACCGCAATTTCGATAAAGCTTTATGTCTGTGAAAGCAATCCTACTTCCACCTCTTATTATTTCAGAGGACTGCCTAGGCTATTCTTAACCATGTGCTTGTCAAGTTTTAAAAGACACAAAATAGAAAAAGGCCAGTGACAGTACTCTGAATCTCCCACTCTATTTTAACTAAGTGGCTCAAACAAAGCAAAACAAAACAATGGGCTTTTGCTTTACGTTTTCTTTTGAAGAAAGAGGTTCCTATAAAAATAAGTTGGCCAACACTGTCTTCCTACAACCTTAAGAGTTGAGGAAACTGAGTTTCAGAGAAATTAAATAATTTTTTTGTTTGGTCCAAAATCTATAATAAGGAAGTAGCAGTGCTAGCATTTAAACCTAGGATTGATTCCAAATCCTATATTCTGGTTACTATGCCAAACACAATATCTACGATAAGTGTAAGTTTAGAACTAGTAAAATAATAGTGAGAAATAAAATAAGGAATTAAAATTTCTTAAAAAATTAAATACGGACTGTCATTATTTAATACTCTCTCCAAAAACCCCAGTGAGTTGCAGCAGGGAGTGAATGGGAAATACCTTAGGAAAAGGGCAAAAATAGGCTAAGATAATTCACAATGAGGTTCTTTGTTGTCAGATAACAGCACAGTATTTCTATAGGCCTTTTAACTCTCAACTTACACAAACTGTAGTGGTATACAGTAATAAAGATATGATGAAGGTTTACAATTTTTATTAATGTGAATAATGAAACCTGGAATAAAAAAAATTTTGTACACTTATACAGAATTAAAATATTATCATTTAAAAGAGGTAAGAAATTTACCTGCATCAAATATTGTGCACCCTCTCTCAAATCATCTGCATGTACTGGAGCATAAAAAGCCTTCATTTTGTTTTTAATAAGCCACCGCTGATATTTGGCTTGATCAATGGACATCTCTTTCATAGCTTGTCTTCGAGGGCCCTTTAAGGTAAAAATATTAATAAGTCTTTAACTGAAAGGTAATCCATTCCATTTTCATAAAAAAGCTTCCTGTTATCTTGGCTTAAACAAGGCATCTAAACATGGCAGTGGGGGTGGAAGGGAAGTAAAATATAATGCTAGCATTTTACTCTCAAATGGGTGAATTATATTCAATAAAGATTATGAAAAGACAGTGTTGATGGAACAAAGGCACAGAAAGAAAAAGAGAAGGAAACACAGACTTTGAAAAATAAATAAGTATTGGTAGTAGTAAATGAGAGAAATTATAAATTACTGAAAATGGAGAAGAGATTACAAAGAGAAAAATAAGAGCTTTCTGTTTTTTCTATGGAAAGTTTCCCATCTTGTTTTTCATTTGTCTCAAATGTCTAAGTTAATTCTCAGAAACCTAGAAATATCATTAAAAGTCAAAGTTAGCTATATAAATTCATTTTTTCCTTTGTACTTCTGTTGAACAATGACATATGAAAGGAAATGAGTTTTTTCAACTTGCAATTCTATTTTATTCCTTGTAAGCAACACATGAAATGTATCTGGTTTTACCTAAAATGTATTAAGAAAAAACAATCTAAAAATAAGATTAAAAGTTCACCTTAATTATACATGAATAAGACAAGGAACTGGAGAAGGAACTGGCAACCCACTCCAGTATACTTGCCTAGAAAATCCCACGGACAGAGGAGTCTGGTGGGCTACAGCCCACGGGGTTGTAAAGAGTCAGACATGACTTAGCAACTAAACAAGACAAGGAATAGTACAATTTATCATTATTAGTAGAAAAACTGCCTCTGTGCAATTTCTTATGCTCAAGACTCCAATCTGAATCTCTCTACTTGGAGACAGACTGTGAAACTCCACAGGTCCCAAGTGGAGTCAGTGTCTCAGTGTGTTCTTCCACTACCCTACACACACATTTTACTACTAAACAAGCTGAAGATTAACTCTAGCAGGGGCTGGGACATAGGGCATATAACATGCATTTCTAATACCAAAATAAAATGAGCAATAGAGCCTGGGATGTAAGTTAATCTGGTAAATAAATACTCCAGTTTCTTATGCAGAAAAGATCCATCATCTAGTGATTTTAGCTAAGAGGCCAAAAATAAAACTACTTTCAGATGAACATTTACCCCTGTTTTTAGTAATTTCCTTACTCATGAATAAAACTAAAATGAATGGGCAAGAATTCAGCTTTCACCCTACTCTTTACATACCAGATACTAAATATTTATCAGTACCATGATTTGTCCACCACCTCTTCTTTATTCTGACAAGTAAATATTCCTAGCGTTCTTAGGACTTTATGAGATTTATCAGTAAGAAAAAAACACATACTGAATTCCATTCAGGTTTCTTAGTTTTTTTCGCTCCTTAGTAGGCTGTTTTTCTTAGCTAAAGCAATATTGCTTCCTAAGAGCTACTCAAATTGTTTCAAATCTAGAAAGATTCACAAATTACAAATGATATACAAAGAGTGAAAAATGTTTTAATACAGAGGACAAAACTAGGACTTACCATATGCACATGACCACAGATCATCAAGCCAACATTTTTTGTGAAATCGTGAACAAGATGAAGTAAAGCTGGGCGTGAATTTGGCGCACCCGTCATAACAAGACACTGAGGCCTAATTTAAGATTAAAAGGAGAAATGTAATTAGAGAAATTTAAGGTTTTGATAACGTGGACATGATTTCAAGTTGCTTCTATAACAATACATTGTTATACTAGACTCTCCTTTACACAACTGTCCTCAAGACACAGGCTATAGGATTCTCATAGAAGATGACATAACCAGGGTTCCTTGGTACATGAGAAATGCAGAACAAAACCTTCTTTGAGCAAACATCATACCAAATATCCTAAATTAATGGGTAATATACATAAAGATTCTGGGAGATACTACAGAAAGAAATGACCATGTCCGATTAAAAACATGTAACAACTTTTCATCTTCTAAAGGTAATAAACATAACAGTTCTTTCACAGAGTTCACAAAACTTCCTGAGAACATGGCCATGTCTTCATGTAAAGAACAGGTCCCTTTCCTTCTTAGCTTGATCACATCATACTCACTTCTGCTTAGTAACATCAGTCTTCCCAAATCTAGCTTAATTTTAATGAATGTTGTTCTATAAGTAAAATCACCTATGGTGAAGAAAAGGTTTCTATTTGAACTAAAAGTTTTAATTCTAATTCACTACATGGAAAGCCAAAATTAATTCAACTGCCTTTCCAAAAATAAGACAGCCACATGATTTTTCATGAATTTTTAACTCGATTTTCATTGACTAGAAATAAAAATCAATCTTGTTTGAGGAAAAAACATTCACATATCCATTTTATAAATTCAAACAGATTCACAAAAACTTGTTAAAACAATGTGTATAGTTAAACTTTAACAAAGAGCAAACAGACTAAGAATTCAGACTTACCTATTAAATTAGTTAGTAGCTCCTAACCATACTCATAAAATAAGCAGGAAAAGCTGAATAAAGACTACAAACTGATTCAGAATTTTAGCAAGCCATCTGAAAAGCCAGTTCTGTCTGGAGGAACAGATTTGAGGCAACTAAACATGAAGTCATCTTCTAAAGGCCCAGAGACTGCTAGTAGTCCAGTCTCTCCATCTGAGCATTAGCAGGTTACATGGCTCCCCAACTAAACACCACCTTTCTTAGTCTTCCTAAAAGTGGCCCTATGACTGATTTCCAGCCCATATGATGTTCCTAATTCCTCATCCTATCCTTTAAAAGGAACCTGGGTCACCCTCCATACTTTTTTTCCCTTTTCTGTGATCTAGACTGTGGAGTTGGTGATGTCTTTGGCCATACGGACATAAAAACATACCCTAGGGAATGGCAGGCTGATGAGGTAAAAGGAAGAAATGTGGGGCTTGAGTGACCAAGTGCAGCCAATCTATGTAGCAGCCATAAACTGTCCATCTACCTTTGGACTATCACAGAACACTGATCTCCATCTTGTTTAGCCACTTTGTTTTTTCAGCTTTTTCTTATAGTAGGTAGTTTAACCTATTACTAATATAACCTCGTACTGTGGGAAATGAACTTGTAGTCCCTATCTTTACTAAACAGTAAACATGTTAGTAAACATACCACAAAGGCATAATTTGGGTATAATATTGTACCAAAAAAAGGTACAGAACAAAGTATATTAGGGATGACTTCTAGTAGAGAGACTCTCTCTACTAGAATAGAATATTCTATTCTAGTGTGAATATCTGCCTTCATCTTTACTCCCTCTTTAAATATCTCCATAGTATGATAGGATTTTTTTTAAGTCACCAAAATATGGAGAAAAGGATAGGACACAATTGCACTGAAATTTTGAAAGCCAGAAAGCACATGCAAGAACAACAAAGGATTTGACAAATCAGGAAAAGGCTAAGTGATAAATGAGCATAAGAGAAAACTGTGAAGCCACCTGATTTTACACCTAAGAATCATCAAAATGCCTAGGACTGACAGGCAGTAGATGCCTCTGGAAGTGGCAGGGGCAACGTGTTAAAGAAACAAAAATAAGAACTGATTTAAAGTTTGCATAAGAAGCATCTAGATGAACCCAAGTCATTTCCATCACTATAATGGGCAACTGTCCTTGCCTTTCTCCAACCCTATTAGGCTAGGGCTTATTTGTTAGAGGCCTCTGGTCTGGGAGCAGTAGCTGAGGGCATAAGCAGCTACTTTAAGCAGGAAATTAGGAGAACATTCGCTATATGCTGGAAACTGGAATCTCCAAGCTGCCTTCTCACTTAGCTCTCAGAACTGTGGCAGCCAGAACTTTATCAGTAAGCAAAGATTAAAAGATTCTTTTCTGAGAAATCTAATCAAATTAAAAAAGAAAACTTCTAAGATGACTTAAAATTTCTCAAAGAACCATCATGGTCACATTAATCTCCATTAAGGGCTTGAGTGAGAGACCCGCCCCCAATGCAGAACTTCCCCAGCCCCAGATTGCAGACATTTCAGACAAGGTTAAGTCTAAGAACCCAAATTAAAGAGGCAGGAAACGATAAGAAAGACACTTCAAGGAAACAGAAACTACGAAGTGAAGAAAACAAAATCTTTTGGCAAATTTGGTGAAGGCTGAGACAGTGATACATAAAAAGTGAAACAGGAAAAACAATTTATTGGCTACACAGAAAACATAAAACCTGTGCAGGAAAAGAAAGCAATCATAATTTACAAGGCTAAGCTCTGAATTATGCTTTAGAAGTCATACAAATATAAACATCAAGTCTAATCTAATCAAAATAATGACACAAAAATATACTGGGAGCATAGGGTAAAGAGAAGGGTGTGTGTGTGTAATGGGCATGCATGGATGAAAGAAATCGAGAGATAATGCCTAAAATTAAAAATCAAACAATACAATAAGACAAACATGCTTTTGGGGAATATGAAGTAAATACTACACAATTCAGCTAAGAGTTGAAATGGGTTACCGGTGGCATAAAAGAAATAGGGATTTGAGAAGTAGGACAACTAATTTCACAACAAATGTAAGCTTTTCCTCTTTTAAATATGTTCATGTATAATTCTGATAAGAATTTTAGAACACTAACTTGTTAGAGTAAACTTTTTTTTTTAAGTTTTTTAAAAAAATTCCTGTTTCTATAATAAGTCAAAGAACAGTTTTTTAATTGAAGGCAAGTTAATTCTGATTCTTGATCATACTCTCAGTTCTGGGACACAGCTTTTTACGCAAAGGAAGGATTTCTATTTTCTGCCATACTTTGCATTAACTATTCAAAACATTAAAAATGTGCTGAAATTAAAGTTTTCCTCCCAGAGCTCTCATTTCTTTCCCCTGTTTCTTTCTACTCCAAAACTGAAGATCTGTGGTCTATGGGAATCTTTCATTTGAGAAAACAAATTGGTGGGGGCAGGGGAAAGGGGGTGGATATTCAAACAGTGACAAAAAGTATATATTAATACAAAGATTTTTCTTCTTGGGAGAAATTTGGTAGAGCACTTCTTTTCTGGCACTTTTCCACTCTTGAAATTTTCTTTTAAAAAGATTTTGTCTTTTGTTTTACTGAAAACAGGAACTTATTCCTGTGATTACCGTGCAGAAGCCAATGAGACACAATTACTCATGACTGGAATTGCCTGTTCAGAACCAGGCTTACGTGAACAGTAGGAGAATGACTGTCTAATGGTATATTTTTTAAAAAGAACAAGCCTACTTTTAGCTACACTTAACAATTATCTATAATTTTTAAGAATCTATATAAATAAATTAATACTTTTGGATTTACAACAGTGCTTTAATAACTGAATCCCATCAACTATTAGAAAACATATTGAATTAATATATTGAAAGAATATATTGGGTTTTTTTTGTTTTTTTTTTTTTTAGAGCCAAATTTATGTATCCTGTTGGATTTTTACAATATTTATTGAAGATATGCACTCAAGTGTTGCTGGTCACAGTATCAGTATTTCTGTCACTGAGTTTTTTTCTCGTCTCTTGTAATTTCTCACTGTGATCTTCTATATTTCGTTATATTCAGATCATTTCTGTAATGATACCTTGGCACATACATAGATGTTGCAGCAAGCTTCATTTTTGTTTTGAATTTTTGCATCCTTCTTTTCCTCTCAAGAGAATTAAGCATTGAAGTGATGGATTAAAAGCCTTTAAAGAATTGTATGACTTTACCAGTTGGGCTGGGCTTTTTTTTTTTTTTTCATTTATTTTTATTAGTTGGAGGCTAATTACTTCACAACATTGCAGTGGGTTTTGTCATACATTGACATGAATCAGCCATGGAGTTACATGTATTCCCCATCCCGATCCCCCCTCCCACCTCCCTCTCCACCCGATCCCTCTGGGTCTTCCCAGTGCACCAGGCCCGAGCACTTGTCTCATGCATCCCACCTGGGCTGGTGATCTGTTTCACTATAGATAATATACATGCTGTTCTTTCTAAACATCCCACCCTCGCCTTCTCCCACAGAGTCCAAAAGTCTGTTCTGTACATCTGTGTCTCTTTTTCTGTTTTGCATATAGGGTTATCATTACCATCTTTGAAAGAATATATTGAAAGAACATATTGAAAGAAGTAATATATTGAAAGAAGTAGTAAGAAATGCTCTTTACTCTGACATTGATTCTTTATCACAAAAACTGATTTCTAGTTCCACAGTGAGAACAAAGCCACTAACATGAAAATATTTACCGCCTTAGTAAAATTATGAAACAAGTATTTTTATGAATTTCATCCTTAATAGTTATAAACTTGAATGGCCACGGGGGCGGTGGGGGGGGCGGGGGAGTTTAATGATACCTATTTAAAAGCCTTCAAAAAGAGACCTCCAAAACGTCCGTAACATTTTTATAAGGTAGATGATAATTTTTCTCTTTGTAAAATTTTGAGAAGCCTCAACCTTGTTTTTGAATAAACTGCTCAAATCAAACCAAACAAGCAACAATATTCTATGCTTTTAGATAATTTTTCATGAAATATCACCACATGAAAATATTACTAAACAATAAATGAAGAACTGATTGCCATCTAAGACAAATGTTTCTGTGTTACCTGATCACTTACCTGAAGTTTTTCACGTGGTCTTCCACTCCAGAAAGACGAATTGAATGCTGCAGTGCATTCAGGTAGGTCAGAGCTTGTGTAGAGGAGCCCCAGTTCACATCTGTGAGAGGACAGTGTTCATGCAAGATAATACCGGTGATCACAAGTCATCAATAACCAATGCTTTCACATTTAAAAAGTCAGCTGCTAAAATAAACTGTTGTACTCAGGAATTTCAATAGTTCAAGTCTACAGCATGAAATTAAGACAATGCTAATCTGAGCTATTATTAACATTTAAAGAAAATATACAACTTGGAAAAGACGAGATGAAAGGGTTGCAGACATGCTGTGCATGCAACTCAAAATGAGTCTCGCAAACAAAGAAAACATTTAAAAATTATTGTTTATACAGCCAAAAGTCAAGAAGGAAAGAGGCAGATCTATGATTGTTATAAAGTACTATTTATAGTACTTCACTGTTTAAGTTATTTGAACATCAAGGCAAATTTTACTTCTTATTGAATAAACAGTCTAAACACAAATGATGATTTTAGACATGTTACTTTATACTTAATAGGCATATTAGAGAAATAATTGTTTCTAAGATATTTAAAACAATATCTTCTTTGTCCATTTCATTTCTAAAGCCACCATTCTAATCCAAAACCTCATTCTCTCATACTTGGATTACAAAATGTTTCCTCACTGTTTAAAATAACTACACTGCAACTACTCTTGTCATCTCTTCCTAATCTACTCTATTGGGCCACAGCTTTTCAAGTCTTTTTCAATAGATTTTCCTGTTACATGCTATCACACTAAATAACTGGCCTAATTCTAACCTATCCCAGCATCTGCTTATGTGGAGATATACCCAGCAGTTATCAATGTTACACATTCTAAATAATCTTTAACTATTTCCCTCTTTATTTCCCAGTTAAGTACATCTGTCTAATTTTTCTTGATACACAGTAAGCTAGTGGGAAAATACTATGTGTTCTAATACTTTGTGATTCTGTGGTACAAATTATAGTAGGTACTAAACCACAGTAGGCAATACATATAATGCTTATCAAGCTAATAGAAACTACTGTTTACATAAAATCCTTTCAAAGATTAATTTTAAAACATATTGAGTAAAACAATGTTTATTACATGAATTTGTCATTTTTCTACAAATAGGATTAATTAAATTTAACTCATGGCTAAGAATGAAATTCCACAGAATAAGAAGTCTTGGAGTAACTTTTTCATTAAAACTACATATATTTAGAAATGAAGCATTTTAGGTTTTATGCAAAGGGCCTTTGCAAAATACAAAAGATGGATGTTTAGATATGAAAAGGTACGAAGAGTGTCTAAACATTTTTTAGCTTGAAATACTAAATAGTAAGAGAGAAGACTACTGACCTGGTTTTTTGTAGGTAACATAAATGTAAAGTCCAAGAACTATCACGTATGTTAGCAGTGCAGCCCACCAGTTAATGACAAACATCACTATGCAACAGAGAATCGCTCCAAGAAGTGATATCCACATATTGTAGTATTTAAATGCAGGACGCCACCCTAACAGAAACAAATAAAACAGATAAATAAAATCACTCAGCTACCTCATCTGCTTCAGACAGTGGTACATATGCATGCACAAGATAAATTTCTCTGTGGTTGCTACACTGAGAAGTCTTTAAATGTGAAATGTAAAGCTAATTAAACAGTAAAGTCATAGACCATTACTGATCATTATGTCATGATTCTTGATAGCCATGAAGTGGGCACATCTATTTACAACAACATTATCCTATCTTACTAGTTCCCTATTCAAAAAGTCCTTACTAAAAATACAAATCAACCTAAACTCAGTGAATGCTAAAGATCAGAGAAGATTAAAAAATTAGGTTTCAAGTTGAGTCCTTAATAGTGAGATTTTATTTTCTGGTTTTTAGCACAAGACACATCCATATGTTAATGAATATAGAAAACAATTCAAATAAATTGTTCTTCAGAATTGTTAAAAAAAAAAACCTCATCTACTTTCTAGAAAAACTATAGAAACATATCTTACTATTTGGCAAAGTATTTCATTTTGATAAAATTTATATTCTTTTTTAAAAATTAAGCTTTAAATTTTGAGATAAGTGCAGATTCACACAAAGTTTTAAAAAGAATATAGAGATTCTGGGGACCCTTTACCTAATTTCTCCCAGTGATAATATCTTGCAAAATGATACCAAAATATCACAGCTAAAATATTGACATTAAAATAGTCAAGATAAAGAAAAGTTCAACACAAGAATTCTTGTGTTGCCCTTTTATAGCTACACCCACATCCATCTCTAAACTTTATATTCTTAAAAACTGAAGCTAAGATGTTTGTGTCCTAAGTTCCCATGATTTATCTTTCTTGTTCTGAGAAACTTCTAGGCCCATAGAAGCAATAGTGTTTTCTTACTTCATTTCCTTCTCTGATGTCCAACTGTTGTCATGGTTTATAACAAAATACCCATAAAAACTGTATATGAAGTAATTTTTCAGTTGATAAAGACCCCTTATATTAGAATTCCACAGAACTCATTGTGTTAAAAGTATTCCTGGATAGGGTACTATATCATAACAATGTTCTTAGAACTGATAAATACAGGAAAAAACAAAATAATTCTTTCACAGTTAGCCAGAATTTGAGATTAATGCTATTTTAAATTATTTGAAGCAAGAAACAAACATTGTTTACCAATAAACTGCAAAAAGATCTCTGAAGACTCAATTTGACTCAACTATAAAGGCAGAATGAAGCATTAGTGAACTAATTCCACACATGCCATCTTTTGAAATGTATTTAAGTTTTATTTTCTCTAAAATCAAACATTGCCACATTTACGAAACTTTTAAAGAAAATGTAAAGTCACCTGGAGATTTTGCAAGTGATGCATGAAATACTGAAAAATTGATCAGTGCATATGATGCAAGGAAGAAGTTCGAGATGATTGGAGCAATAACATTCAATTCAGCTGCAAAAGAAACATGAAGCACATTATACAGACATATTAAACATTTTGTAACTTTTCAAAACTATGAATCATTTCAAACCTTTAGATAATGCATAGTGCTCCTAAATCCACAACCCAAATTTAATGAACTTTGCTATACATACTTCATATACTTTAAATCATATCCTACATACACAGTAGAAACCTCCTTTATGACTCACTCTCCCAAAGTTGAAATATTCTTTCCAGTGACGTTATACTGTTTTCCTACACACATATATGGTTCACAAGGATTATGGAGCACTATTTTGGCTGTTTTAAAAATTACATAAATTACATCATACTACATTATCATTCGGTAATTTGATTTTTTTTACATTCATTATTTTTGAGATTCATCCATATTAACATATGAAAACCAAGTTTACTCACATTTTTACTGCTGAATATTATTCTGCTGTTTCACTCAAGTTGTTTCCATTTTTCACTATTATAATTAATGACACTAAAAATATTCTTATATATGCAAGTTTCTACAGGGTACAAAGCTCTAAAAACTGGTGGCTCATAGGAAACTTTACTAAAAATTGCCAAACTGTTCTCAAAAAGTAGCTATACCAGATCATTTTTAAGCATCAGATGAGAGTTAGTTTCCATGGTATAATCAAAAGTCCAAAAGTTCTTTAAGACCCATTAGCTTCCTTACAATCAGAGGCAAAGGAGCCAAAATGATCAGCAGAGGTTCTACCTTCATGGATCCTTTACCTTATGCTATTATCATACTTGTTTTAGGGATAAGAACGTAGGAGCTCCCTTTAGCCTAATAGGGAGTTAGTGAGGGTATGAGCTTCAGCAAATATTTAACGAACGCTATTATCTAGGGTATTTTCTAAACACTCTTTTCCTTTGATTAAAAAGAAACTTAGTATAGCAGGCAAAGTAACATCTTATGACTTAATGACTCAATGTTGACAGTTAATACTATAAATGCACCAAAATCTACATTAGCACACATGTACAGACTAACCAATTAATATGAATCCAAGTGCAATTAAGAATGTTAAGATGTAGCCACGAAGAGGTTCATTATTTTTCCCATAACCTTTAGCAAACATCTGGAAAGCTGGGTAGATGTTGTCCTTACATAGAGCCTAATAAAGAAATGTAAACATTAAAATGGAATACATCAAAATAAGACATACAGATCTGCTTACAGTTACAACAGGTTAATCAGGAAACGAACCCAAGTTTCTAATTCTTGGTCCTCTTTTTTTTCTTCTCATACTGCGTCATTAACAAATTGTAAAGAAGATTCAAACATTTCCAGTATCAGAAAGGCAGGAGATTTAGAATACACTGTAGTTTTTATCTATTTTACCCCACAGCAGTATGATAGTCTTACATGAATAAAAAGTCAAAGAAGCAGGCATATATATATAGAAGTGTGGAAGCTTGAGAAGTATGATAGATGTGAAAACCAAGTCCAAATCTAAGACCTAAAGCAAATAAAAATCCTAATTATAAAACTTAATCACTTTTCTAAAACAATACTGAAAATAGTTTTAGGAAATACTCTATACCTCTCTGTATTAATTATAACAAGAAATTAAGAACAAAGCTGCAGAATCAATACTTCATTTGTTTTAGTAATAAAAGGTACTTTCTATGCAGTATCAGTTGTTTATTTGATGCTCACTAAAGGGAGATAATGTTTTATTTATCATTATATCCTGAGCACCTAACATAATGTATGGCACATACTAGACATTCAAATATTCATAAAAATAAAACACTTATTTTGGCATTATGCTAATAGGAACAAGATAAAGTATCTTCTTTTGATTTGTGGTACTTTTTATCCTTGGTAAGACATGAAAATTTATGCTAACAGAGTGTCGAAAAAGCAAAAACTCATTACCATTTCCAGAAATGCTACTAAAAAATTATACCCTGTCAGTGGATAAATGCACAACTGTTTATATACATATACATATCAACATTTCTGTGCATAAAATTAAATATGCCACTCTTGATATATGTGTTGGCATGTATCATATAAATACACAGGGCTGACATTAGTAAATAAATCACTTAAAAATATTAAAACTCCCATTTCCTTGCCTACCTCTTTAATAAAATTTGCAATGTGAAAATACTTACCTGAAATATTTTGGGTGCACTCACAAGAGATGCTAATGCAGAAGAAAGAGTGGCTGAGAAGATACCTGCAGAAATTAATGGTGCAAAGCCTGACACCATGCTCATTACCTTAAAAAGTGACAACAATGGAAAAGTAAGTCATATACAATTCAAAAAAATCCAAAACACTATACATCTTTACTATTCCTATAAAGAACACTGATAGTAATACTGGGGAGAATATGATAACAAAAGCAATAGTCCACAGTAATAATGGTTACTTACATGCATTACAAACTTCTGAAAATGATGTATCACCAACCCTTAATTAATGTTAAAAAAAACTTTTTATTTTGTACAACATCAAAGGCGAACACAACGGCAGCAAGAAGAGCATGCCAAACTACAAAATATGCATCAGTTTCAACAGGCCAATCTTTGCATTATTATAAATCATGTCACACATAAATGTTCCAGATAGCATTTCATGCATAAATGTTTCAGTGCATACCTCTAATGGGTAAGAACTTTTAAAAACTGTAACTACATTACTGTCACATCTTAAAAACTGCTTAATTCTTTAACAGCATCAAATACTCAATTGCATCCACAGTTCCCAAATTCTTTCTCTTTTCTTGTTTTTTAAAATAGTTCACTCAAATCAGGATCCACAAAAGGATTACACTTTATATTGAGTGGTTTTGTCTTGTCTTTTTCAATCCACAGATTCATCCTTTCTTTACATTTTATTATTTTTATATTATTTCTCCCAGAGAAACCCAATGCTCTGGATTTTGCTGACAATCTCCACTGTCTTGTTTAATTTGTTCCTCTCACCTCTATTTCTAGTGAACTGGTAGGTAGATCTAGACAGTTAATCAGACTAAGGTGCACAATAATACTCCAAACTGGTATGATACACTTCTGTCAGGAAGGTTGTTTCTTTTTTTTTTTTTTGACGTTAAGATAGTAGATTGGTATTGTGGTTATGTTTTTTGTTTGTTTTTAAAGAATCCTTATTTTTTTAAGCTAAAAGTAGAAATATCCAGTCAAAAAGATTTAAGTCTAGGAGTTGCCTCTAAGTAATATGTGAATTGGGGGTCATAAACAACACCACTAGCCATGCTTTAATAACTGATGAAGCTAGAAAATGTGTATGTCAGGTACATTAGATTGCTTTCTCTCTCTTTGAACATGTTCAAATATTTCCCTACAAGGAAGTTAAATTTAAAAAAAAATAGATCATTAACTTAATAAAATAAACCCCAAACTGAGGAGCATAACACAAAGTTAATTTGCCTGAACCCTTCAACGTCAACATCTTGAAAGATTAAAAACAAGTAGGCTGTGAATTCCTCTAGGTTAAATCATTTTAAAATAACACAACTAAAGGCCATGTGTGACAACAGACTGAATCCTGGATCAGGAAAAAATGAACTGGGGCATTATTGGAAGAAGTGAGGAACTATGAATATGGAATATATATTTAGACAACAGTATTTCATCAACACTGGGATTACTTGGGTAGGATAATTCAACCACATTTGTAAAGAATGTTCTAAATACTTCAATCTGTCATGTTGTGATGTCTATAATTTATTTTCATTGGTTTGAGGAGAAAAATACTATACCTATAAAGATAAAAAACCAATAAATACAAATGAAGGGTAAGTAGATAGGGTAGGTTTTCATAGCACTGTTCCTTGTGTACCTTTAAAATGTGTCAAAATATAAAGTTGATTTTGAAGAACTGTTTAATGGATTTAGGTACTGTTAATTTGATCTATCCATTATAAATTTTACCAGTAGTGGATGATCATCACACTTTGCTTATTAAACAATGGTGAGTCAAAGGTTTCTGGGGATATTAAAATATAGAAATATAATAAGAAACATAAAACTAAATAAAATTAAACATTTACGATAAAGTGACTCAATTATATGTGCATATATTTATCAATTATATGCAAAATAGCGTTATATAGTGTGCCTTTATATAGATTTCATGATGGAGTCTCCATTTATATGCTCCTCAGTAATGTTCTATTCACCATTCTTCATTTCTCCAAGTGATAAGCAATTAATAATTTGACAGAATTTTCTTTCCATTCTCTATCACTTCACAAAGTACTTTTAAAAAATTTACTTAAATTAGAAAAGCAGATTTACATATACCAAACTCCTATACTTTGATTAAGTCCATACTTTCCATACTTAGACTTAATAAAGACAACATACTTTTGTAGTTTAAGACAACAACACAGAAATCTGATTGGCATTTTCAGTCACTGGGCAGAGACCAACATTTGTGCCTTTCATACACAATATCAATGTCAGAAATGGCCTGAATAATTAGCTGGACATGAATACTTTCTTTCATTCTACGATTTTGCCTAGTCTTGTGACTAGAAAAAAACAAACATCTATTACATAACTGAGTTCAATATTTTTAACCACTGAAAGTGCAGCCAATTGTTTGCAACTATACAAAAGAAAATATACATAATGCCATTAAAAATTTTCATGTAAACTACATAGATTCTACATAAAATGTCTACATAATATTTGTACATAATGTTCTGAAATACATTAAATCCTCAACTATTCTGTTTATTAGGTTTAAATATTACTGGAAAAACACGAGGAAGCAGAATTTTTATTTTCCACTTTGAATTTGTAAATTTATTCTATAACTTTACCACAAAATATCTTGTGTTAATCTCCTGAATCTATGAGTTTTTTCTTTCTAGAATCCTGAGAATTATCAAGCAACTCTCAAAATATCCTCCAAATTCTAGTAGTTCCTTTTCATCTTATAAATCTTACCTAAAACTCATAAACTTTACAAAATAGAATAGATAAAAAGTAGGAGTGGTATTTGGCAAATACTTGAGCAGTAGTACTAATCTTTATTGGGTCTTCCTTTGTAGATCAGTCAGTAAAGAATCTGCCTGCGATGCAGGAGACTCAGGTTCAATTCCTGGGTCAGGAAGATCCCCTGGAGATGGAAATGGCACCCCACTCCAGCATCCTTGCCTGGAGAATCCCATGGACAGAGAAGCCTGGCAGCCTACAGTCTATGGGGTCGCAAGAGACGGACATGACTTAGTGACTAAACTACTACTACTGCTACTACTACTAATCTTTACAGAGTTCATACGTTTACTAGTTCACAAGCTTTTAAGCATTCATTAATAATTTAATTCTGCTGTTCAATGGTGGTTTAACACAGCATCACTATATTAGCCATATTTAATAAGACTGCTGATACTGATCAATACTTAAAAGGGCATTTATATATAGAGGAATTAGGAAGAAATCTCAAATCAGAAAGCTGAATTCATTTCAGTTAGTATGTATTTAAATTGCTCAAAAATAAAAACAAAATACTTAGGTGTAAATTTAACAAAAAATATACAGGACTGATGTTCTGAAAACTACATAATAATGATGAAGGAAGTCAAAGAAGATCTATTTAGATGGTAGAATGGTAGAATATATGTATTCATGTAAAGCTATCAATTCTCCCCAAATTGATGTACAAGTTTAATGCACTTCCTACCAAAATTCCAGCAAGACTTTTTTGTAGATAAACATAGATTATTCTAAAATTTATCTGAAAAAGGAAAAGAACTAAAATAGCTAAAATAATTTTGAAAAAAGAATAAAGGAGGAATCAAGCTACCTGATTTTAAGACTGATAATCTAATTACAGTACTCAAGAAAGTATGGCATTGTTGGAGGAATAGACACAAAGATCAATATAACACAACAGAGAAACAGAAATAGGCCCAGTACACATGACCATGTGTGAGATGCTTTCTTACTTTCTCAAACAGTATACTGTATATAATTACTATTTATTACACCCTATTGTAGAAGTGTTACCCTCTGGGGCCCTTTTGCCCCTGAACAGGCTCAGGTTTCATTCTTTTATATTTTTCTGTTTGCCCAATTATTTACATGGGGCTTCCCAGATGGCACAGTGGTAAAGAATCCATCTATGAATGCAGCAGACTCTGGTTCAATCCCTGGGTGGGGAAGGTCTCCAGGAGGAGGAAATAGCAACCCACTCAAATATTCTTGCCTGGAAAATGCCATGGACAGGCAAGTGTGGCGGGTTGAAATCCTTGGAGATGCATAGAGTTCGGCATGACTGAGCGACTGAGCATGCACTATTAGCTGCATACCGTCTTCACTGATATAGGAGTATAAAGCAATAGCAAAAAGTTCTAAGTTTTTGCTATACTCGGAATGGTAGAATTGACAGCAGTTTGACCTCTAGATGAACACAGAATGTTTGTATAACATAAATTTGATGCTCACCTGGAAGTTGTTCATTAGGCCGTAGGAACAAGGGCTGGTTTCACAAGATGAAAAGTCAAAGTTTAATCTGCAGGCTGCAGAAGTACAGTTTGTCAGCTCTGTTACAATGGTGTCATTGACGTTCCCGGTAGCATCCCGAACCACACAAGATCCTGAAGCACAAGTGACAATGAGGACAAATGATCAGGCTAACGTTTACCTTCATTTCAAAATTATATATACCCATAAAGAAAGTGACGGTACTGACTGTATGTACTTGCTTATAATATGAATAGAATACAGTGTATTTCAGTTAAGAAAGCTTTACCTGGAACAGAATCTGGAAAGCATCATGGTCCCCAGTATTGAGTCAGTGAAATGAAACCTTATGAAGTATGTATATGTATACACTTAAAAATCTTGTAAACATCACTGTGAAAATGATATATTAGCAAAATCATTTCCTGTACTACTTGACTAAAATGTCCTAAAGCAAATACAGAGACACTATGTTGAAAGAGCTCCAAATGGCAGAAACAGTTTCATATACTCTGAATACTTTATATTTAAAATGTGCCAAAGATCAGACTTGAGGTAACATCAGTCTTCTGTGAGGAAAAGTAATTTAAACATAAATGAATTATATAATTCTATTTAAACCTTTGTATAAGTAAGTTCACCTTGATAATACAAAAATATAAGGTGGGAGGAGTTGGGGAGGGATGGTCTGGGACTCGGGTAAGCAGATGTAAGCTATTACACATAGAATGAATAAAAAACAAAGTCCTACTGTATAGCACAGGGAACTATATTCAATATCCTAGGATAAACTATAATGGAAAAGATTAGTAAAAATAATGTATATCCACATATAACTGAGTCACTTTGCTGTAAAGCAGGAATTAACACCACATTGTAAATCAACTCGACTGCAATAAAAAATAAATTAAAAATTAAAAAAAGAAAACATATAGTATCTGAGATTTGCAGCAGACTGAATAATCAAATACTATGAAAAATGTATATTCTATAGTCGATGAATTTGGAGTTTGTGATTCTTTTGATTAGTACTAGACTATGATTTATTCTTGTAGTATGCTTAAAATTTTTAACTGTAAAACTTGAATTTTAGAATTTAGACATTAAACACAATGCTTATACTTTAGGAATATGATTTCTGGATAAAGTATTTAATTGAATGAATGTACAATAAATTCAAGACATGACAGCATCTATAGTCAGTGTATGCAAATTATATGTAAAATCGGTAGTTATTGTTTTCTAGACTAGAATGTTTCAGTTAAAGAACCTATCTTAAATTTGTCTTTCAAAATTATTTACTTACTTACTTGTAAATAAAAACACCAAAACCCTCTTTGTCATGAAAACAATTTTTAAAGGCAGTGCCATTATCTTATTTTTGGCAGCAAAATTGGCTTCCTCACACATAAAAGATTTAGAGACGGGCTGACCTCTTAAGTCCTTTCTTCAAGTACTATAATATTATGATTCCATCAATTTATTAAGATAGTTTAAAATCATTTCATTAATTTAGTAATACTTTTCCTTCAATGTAGTATCTCCTATTAATTGAAATCAAATTTTTATGGTAAAAAATGTCAGGTTCTGCATATTGGCCTTGAAACAATCGTAACACAGTAAGATTATATAAAAACATAAAAAAATAACCATCATAAACAAAAATATGCTAAAATTTGTGAAGATCAGAAAGTAAAATTCATTTACTTCTACACATGAATTATATTTTCTATAAATATGTCTCAGTGAAATTTAAAAGAATCTGCAGATGAGATTTTATATAACTTTCTAACTTACTATATAATAAAATAAAAATCCCAGGCAAAAAACAATAGAATATTTGGTGGCTTAGACAACATGTATTAAGTTACCACTAGCTTACTTAAGTACTTTTGAAATAAAATACAAAACTCTATGTCTTTTTATTGAAATAGTTCTTAATTTAAAAGTTAGAAATATAACATCATGAAAACGAATATTTATAGTACATATACCATTAAATGACTGAAACACATAGAGAAATGTAAGGTTATTTACCTACAGATACTGCAATTCCTATGTAAACCAGTGTAGTAATTAAAATGGCTAAGAGTGTTCCTTTGGGTATGGCTGACTGAGGATCCTAGAAGACAAAAACATTTTTTAAAGTCTACCTTTAAAAATAAATATATGTATATCATTTTTATATGAAATCAGTAAAGTACTTTATAATACTTACTGCAAGATCACCTGAGATATTTGCTCCGGCCAGAATGCCAGTTGCAGCAGGAAAAAAGATGGCAAATACAGAAAAAAAGGTCTCTTCGTCTCGAAAATCTGGCCCAAAATTCTCATTAAATATTTCAGCTATAGAGAATAAAATATTTTTGGAAATTAATGGATAGCAGATTAGGCCATAAAATTTTAGGTTAAGAGTAAGTGGTGAGCTATGATCTCTGACTTTCCTTCAGTTCCAATAACTGGTAAATTCTTGAACATTTTCAAATTCAAGCTCTAGTGTTCCTCTTTTCTTGTATGAGGAAAACAGTTTACATCCAAAATGGTGGTTTGATCTGGTTCATGCACTATTATTTTGTATACCTTACTAATTATGTTTGAAATACCTCTAACTTGAGTCTTAAGACAGGCCAAGATGTCAAAGAAACAGGAAAGCAGGTAGGAAAAAAAGGACATCACACTAACCTGGAACCATTTTTTCCCCCTTACATCCAACTTATCTGTACTGTTTTCTCTATTTCCTAGGGGTGAACTGTTTTGACTTTTGAGGCTATCCATCAGGTATTTAGATAATTTTTAGCTAAGACAAACTACTTAAAGGTCCTTTCCATTTCAATAATAATGAAAGCGTCAACTAGTTCCTAGTGTTTCCATCTATTCTAATAGGTCCTCAAATTGAAAAAAACAGTAAATTGTCATCTATCCATCAATTCATCCATCCATCCCGTATCTGAGTGTACACCATGTGCCAATATTGGAGCCATCTGGTATCTCAAGGTACTGAGAAGTCCAATAGCAACAAGCTACCTTCATGGAACTTAAAGTATCAATAGTAGTAGTAGTAGTTGTAGTTTAGTTGCTAAGTTGTGTCCATCTCTTGTGACCCCAGAGCCTGCCAGGCTTCTCTGTCCATGGGATACTCCAGGCAAGAATACTGGAGTGGGTTGCCATTTCCTTCTCCAGGGGATCTTACTGACCCAGGAACTGAACCCTAGTCTCGTGCATAGCAGGCAGATTCTTTACCGACTGAGCTACAAGGGAAGCCCTTGTAGTATCAATATGTAGCTACCAAATAAGTAAAAAAAAAAAAAAAGGTCACTGCAAACAGCAGTAAAAGTACTCAATGGAAACAGGGTGTTGTGACAAATAATCAGAGAGAGATAATCTAATTCAATGTGTTTATTACACAAAGCTAAAATGATGCAACTAAGGAGTTAACACTTACATTGAGACTTTACAGAGCAGGAATCAGCCATGTGATGTTACAGGGACAGAGTACAGCAGGAATAACCAACAACATATAGAAAGGCCCTAAGGCAGGAAGAAGGTTTAGCTCTTTTGAAGAAATGAAAGAAGGCAAAGCTCTCACAGTACAGGGGAGATGAAATGAAATGGAAGGGATCAGGAGGGGTGAGATCATGCAAAATTTAGTAAGAATTTAGATTCTGTCCTCAATATAATGAAAAGCCAAGGTGGGCACAGAATCATGCAAATGACATGGTATGATTAACGCTTATGTGGTGCTGCAGAGACAATGGACTGAAGGATCAGCAACTGAAGCAGGGGAACCAATTAGAAGGTTACTGTAATGGTTCAATCTAGTGATGGGAGAAAAAATAGTGATGAGAGAAGGATTGGAAAGAGAGCAAGGAGAAAACACTGAGATCCTGATTTCTTTCATTTATCAGGATGGAAAAGTTCAAGAAGGGTTAGTTAGGAGAGACATCAAATAAACAGTTGAATATATACTTATATCTTGAGTTTAAAGGAGAGGCCCAGGAATAAAACATGTCAGTCTCTTGAAAGCATTTTGAGCCATGAGAATAGATATTGCCAAAGGAAAGAATATAGTTAGAAGGCCCAGGACAACACTGTACAACTGACATTTAGAGGATGAAAGAAGAGAAGGGGTATAACAGGAGTAAAAGACATAGCGACCAGAGAATTAGGTAGGAAAGAACTCACTAGAATACAGTGTCTGACACCAAAGGAGAATGGGACAGCTAAATAGAATGTTGCTGAGAGTCAGGAGACTAAAAAAACAAGGAGTTTTTGTCGATTTAACACAGGCAGACCCTTTACCCTAAGGGAAAAGTAACTCTGATGCTATTGCAACTCTTCTTTCTGGCTTTCATTCTGCCTTGAAGAGACAGGTTCAGAACAGCAGCTCGAGGGAGTGGGGCGGAGATACAGAAAGACACTTTATAAAATAATCAATGACACGTAAATTACACCTGTAGTGAAAGTTAAGAGGCAGAATGAAAAGGGTTATGGAAGATGAAAACTGGAAAATTCTCACGCAATTAATAATGTAAACTGTAGAATTACATCAAGAAACTATTTCTAGTTGCTTTCACAGCCTCAGGCACTTTTAGACTATTGTGTTCAAACACAACTAAAAGAATGGAAAAGCAACATTAGAACAGAAGTTACAATTTCAGTAACAAATTCCCCAAATGAGAACAAAAGTACTTTTCCTCAGTAGCACTGATTTCTCTATGTTTTATCACCTTTTGTTTTGCTAATGATGAAAAATGAAAGATATAAATAAAAGTGATTTTTTTTTTTACTCCAACTATACAATAAACATAAAGAAACAAAACTAAAATGGACGGTCAATTAGTGTTAGTCACTACACCAAACTCAATTACATTACAAAATATGAAAAATGTACTAAATTTATTTAACACTAGAATGCTATAATGTGCACCTTAAAAAAAAAAAAACACATTCTTTCTTACTTACACTTATAACCAAAGAAACCTTTGGGCTTCTTGCTCTCCAATGGGATAAATGTTCCTATGACGAAATCAGCTATAGCAAGTAGTAGAATCACCAAAAGAACAATCTGAGCCTGAAATTTTAAACATTAAAAATCAAAATCAAACATACTGTGTCTATATACCAATTCAGAGCCATTGGAATATAACTCCCATAAGGGAAAAGATTTCTGTCTTGTTTTCCCAGAGTCTCACACAGTGCCAAGCACAAAGCAGGTGCTTAATAAATTTTTGTTAAAGGAACAATCTCAGAACGTTCAATACATTGAGGGAAAATGGAGAGCAAAAGTAGGGTCATGCCAACTATTTCCAAAATGAGTTAAAGATGTGTGTGTTAGATGTGCTAACAAATAACACAAATGTTAAAATATAGAAAAAAACTATAGTACTGATATTACCTTTAGTAACTCCCTCTGACATACCCCGTAATTCATTTTTTTCTTACATACTCTTTGATTACCTCTTTAAATGACTAAATACTAAATAAATGAGTATTATTTCCAAATACTCCCCACCTTGCCAAATAGAAATGACCATATATGTAAACGTCTTTGAAAATGGCCACTTAGGAACCTTCAAAATCTAAAGGTATTACCATACCTTAGAACATACCTAAAACATAAGCTCTAAAAGTTTGTACACTCAACATTCACAGAGGTCCCAATGATACCATTACTTACTTTTGCCTCCCACTCCATTCCAGCTACTGAGATACCTAAAAGGATCACCACTGTAATGGCTCCAATAATTCGGATATCATTGATTTCATCTATCATAAGTATGGAATGTTCCTACAAAAAGAAAGTAATAGAATGAAAAATATTATTTCCTTTCAGCTAAATTCTTCAATTCTTTTTGAAACATTTTAGAGATATCACAGTTCCTCACAGATAGAAGCTAAATAAATTCCTATTTAAGGAATGAATAGGAAAATCTAGCAAAAAAGAATGAATTACTGTTTACTATTAAGATGTCACTCAAATACCTGAAGACATCAAAAATATGATCAAATATTAATACTGCTATATTTATAAAGACTCAAATTTTAAAAAATGAATTGCTAACAAGCAAAGAAAAAAATCATAATATGACTAAGTAGTACTAATAGGATTTTTTTAAAGTTACAAAGAAGAAACGTATTTTGTATTCATTGTGGTTAGTGAATTCAGCTTTCAACAGTCTCTTCCATTGCATAAGGAAAAGAGAGAACACACTTTCATGCAGCTGTCCAAAGTCACACTATTCCGTTCTAAGAACAAAATTATTTGTGGCTAAAATAATGACATTAAAAACATATACTACATTAAACAGTGAAAGACTATGAATTCTTAATGATTATACTGTTTGCTTACTTCCTTTTCTCTGTCCCTTTGGCCTAGGCAGCTAAGGTCAATGCCAATGCAAGTATCAGTCCTTTTCAGGTGTTACACTTCCTAATATACCATTTACTACAGTATAAGAAGTTACAACCTAACATCAACAACTACAGGTGTCATTCGAGATTCTTCTCAGTTAATCAAACTGAATCCTATTTCAGTTCTACTGCTTTAACTACACACATACTAATTACTCTTTTCAACTAAGTTCTCTTCTCAACTCCAGGGCAGTATCATCAACCACTTCCTGGCCAGCTTGACTTACATATACCAAATTAGATAGACATCCCAAACTGAAATGTTCTGTGTTCTCTATCTCATGGTAAATGGCATTACCATCCATCTTAATCAGTCCTCCTTTCTCGTTCTCTAATTTCCCACATCCCATCAATCAAGTCCACTTACTCAACTTATTAAAAATCATTCAAATACATCTCTCCAGCTGCACTCATCACTGATTTAATATTCACCATCCCAGGATAGCTACAACCTTTTAAATGGTATCCATGGCCAATTGTGACCCCTAACAATTCTCTGCACTGTAATCACATATTTCTTGAGGCACCAAATCTGATCATCATGGATCTCAACTCCAGTTAAGATATAATCCAGGTTTAACAGCAAACAAGACCCTTCCTGACTTGACCCTTTCTTTTTTCCCTCTCATCTTAAACCTTGTGCCACTTTTGTGCTTCAGCCATAGTGAAATATTTCCAGTTTTTTTTTTTTTTTTATAAATAACACACCATACTCTACCCCTTCTAGGTCTGTTTTCTTTTGTTTCCTATTTCCCTCATACCGTATCTCACCTCTCCTATCTGGGTGCTACTGTCTTGACTACCTTCCTTTGAAAAATGGTAAATTAAGTGATCCTCCCAGTTTGTCAAGACCTCCTGCAGTTACCGTTTCTGACATTTGCTGGCCTATCTCTTACACTAAACTTCTTAAAGGATGAGCTTTATGTTCTTTGCTGCTTTCCTGGCATTTTACACGGTGAATGGCATGTAAATCCTCAATAAAGATCCAGGAAATAAATGACTGGAAAAAGGTGAATTACCTTAAGCAACTCCACCACAGTTTCTGCAAATCCAACCACATACATGGCAACTGCGACAGCATTGGCAAAAGCGAAGATCAGGCCAATTGCACCGCCAAATTCTGGCCCTAGACTTCTAGATATTAAATAATACGCTCCTCCTAAAGAAAAGAAAAAAACACAAGTACTAATGTTAGAATTTGAAATGTCAAATAATCCTTTCAATTACACAAGAGTTCACAAACACATGCCACCAGTGAACACAGCAGTTAAAGTAACAGGCAAGTGGGTGAGCATATTTTTAGGAAGAAACACCCAGAAAGAATTTTTTACAACCCACTTCATTCATAACGGTTCTGAACATCCAGAAAATTTTCCTCACATTAAATATAAAAATCATCCTGCTATTTAAATCCCTACTTCTTTTCTAAAGTTTAGATGAAAATGGTAACAGCCTCCTCCTCACATTCAGAGACATCAAGATCATTTCCCAATGATTTTCTAAGTAATATTTTTAATCTTAAATAACATTTAAAATGATAATTGACATGATTTCAGTTACTTAGTGTGGTAATTTGCTGAATGTGAATACTAAAGAAAAATGAAGGTATCACAAGAAATTTAATGAACAGCACATACTGACATCCTGAAGAGACATAGTTTTATTATAATAAAACTTAATTTATATTAATTTATTAATAAATTTATATTATATTTAATATAATTTATAATTTATATATTTAATATAATTTATATTATAAATTTATATTGATTTATATTAATTTATATTATAAATCCTGCCTAAATGGCAGAGTAGACAAAGACATTAAACAAGCTATCACCATGAAGCAAGTATTTTCCTAACTTAAATCAGTATTTTTATTCTGAGTCAGTGTAATACTTATCTAAAGTCTCTAAAAGCTCCCCTAAATTTATAATTTATTTTTGGTTTCTAGGTCATAATCAAAACTTAGTTTTAATAGTACTGAAGTTACATTAAGTTATATACATTTTTCTAGACACTGATGAAACATTCTATTCTTTTTGTCGATCAGTCACTCAGTTGTGTCTGACTCTTTGGGACCCCATGGACTGCAGCACATCAGGCTTCCCTGTCCTTTACCATCTCCTGAAGCTTGCTCAAACTCATGTCCATTGAGTTGGTGAAGCCATCCAACCATCTCATCCTGTTGTCCCTTCTCCTCCTGCCTTCAATCTTTCCCAGCATCAGGGTCTTTTCTAATGAGTCAGCTCTTCACATCAGGTGGTCAAAGTATTGTAGCTTCAGCATAGTCCTTCCAACGAATATTCAAGATTGACTTCCTTTAGGATTGACTGGTTTGATCTCCTTGCTGTCCAAGGGACTCTCAAGAGTCTTCTCCAATGCCACAGTTCAAAAGCATCAATTCTTCGGTGCTTAGCCTTCTTTATGGTCCAACTCTCACATCCATACATGACTACTGGAAAAACCATAGCTTTGACTAGATGGACCTTTGTTGGCAAAGTAAAGTCTCTGCTCTTAAATATGCTGTCTAGCTTTGTCATAGCTTTTCTTCCAAGGAGCAAGTGTCTTTTAATTTCATAGCTGCAGTCACCATCTACAGTGATTTTGGAACTCAAGAAAATAAAGTCTGTCATTGTTTCCATTGTTTCCCCATCTATTTGCCATGAAGTGATGGGACCAGATGCCATGATCTTAGTTTTCTGAATGTTGGGTTTTAGGCCAGCTTTTTCACTCTCTCACTTTCAATAAAGAGGCTCTCTAGTTTCTCTTCACTTTCTGCCTTAAGGAAGTCTTAAGACCATATAATGAAGACAAATGCAACAACAGATTCTACAATTTACTAAATTACTAAATATGCAAACTTTATTTTGAAAATACCTGTAATAGGTTTTGGGGTTAATTTTATCAAGTTTCTCAAAATATTCTATACTTTAAACCTACCCACCAAAACTTCCTCATTACAGTACAACAGGCACAGATACAACACTGTAAAATAACTATCGACCAATTAAAAAAAAAACTTTCTCAGTAATTCACTTTACCAATTAATAATTTTTATCATCTTTAAAAAGAACTGCAACCTGATCATTTAGTATTAGTCTCAATTTTTAAAATGAGATGAAACGACAGAAATTTTCCCCAAATACTTTTGAACACTAAAAATTCTAATGGACTTACATATAATGACAATTTTTATGTCAAAGAGCTAAAGTTAAAGATATTAAATCACATAATTAATCACACAGAATATCCCTAGAATATCATAATTATCACAGCCTATAGTTAATGAACATGTCATTTAATCTCAATATCAATAATGAATTAAATATTATTTACCCTGACTTTATAGATAGGACAATTAACTCACAATAAAAGGTTAACTCAAATCAGTCAGCTGCTCATGTATTTCAATAGTTGATAATATTCTTTAGAATGAAAAATACACCAAGAGAACCTATAAAAGCATAGAATTCAGTTGTTTAAAGTTTTGATTTTCTGAAATTTCAAGTCTTTTATTACTAATAAAAAATATATATCTTAAGATGTATTTAACATTGGTAAAGATAACTGGAAGGGAAATAACGAATACAATAACAAATTCTGACATTTCAGGACTATTTAAAAATCTTCCACTAATTGGGATACCTAAACTTAAAACCTAGGACCTGGTTTCACTACTTTTTAGAAGATTTCACTTTTTTTAAATGAAAATAAGTTACACATGAAGAATATTTTAAAAGCATCTGCTCATCTTCCTATAAATTCCTGATGAAAAGAAACAGTACTCCGCCGTGTTTATTCTCATTTCTATTCCTGTGCCCTTGAGGCAACCAGTTTTAAGAGCTTTCTCCCCCTCTTTTTTTCCTTAGCAACAAAATAGTATAAAAAAATCTACTGCTCTGAAAGACTGGTCTATTTACTAATCAACATAGAGTGATACTTAAAAATAAAATTTTTATTTTGTAATTAAGTAAAATTACACATTTTATTTAATTCTAGCAAGTACAATTGACTCTTGAACAACACAGGTGTGAAATGTGAAGGTCCACTTATCTGTGGAATTTTTTCAATAAATATACTGAATTCTTTTTTTGGAGATTTGTGATAATTTGAAAAAACTCAAAGATGAATCACAAGGTATAGAAATACAGAAAAAATTCAGAACAAGTTAGGTATATCATGAATACATAAAATGTATGTGGATACTAGTCTATCTTTACATAGGTTCAAGGTGAATGATACCTAATACAAAATTAGTATGTTAATTTTCTTTCTAATACATTACCTCTGCTCAGAGAATTAACATACAAAACATTCTGCCCTCCGTCCCTCCCTCTCTGGTAATTAGAGAAACTGCACATCATCGCAGATAAGTGTTTTTTAAAAAAAGTAACAGTGTTTATACTACTATACTATGAATATGACTATAATGCTGTATGCCATAAAAATTGTACAAGGATTCACTCATTAGTGCAGAGGCTAGGCTACCATGATACAACCATATCATTATACTAGGCTACAATAAAGCAATCATATTGCTGCCTCTTTGTTTTCAATGTGTGAACTGCTATACCTGTAAATAAATATAAATTCCATTTCTCACATTATCTTTTCCTTTGTTAAATGTTTTTTTAATTTCTCACATTTTTAAAAAACACCTGTTGGAATACAGTTTATCTGCATGATGTCTTACTTTGAGGTGTACAGCAAAGTGAACTTTTCATGTTATCTCTAGTGTTAGTGATACATGTAACATATGCAGTGTTTTGTATCATATAAGACAGTATTAATACAGGTATTAACAAATGATCCATCTTGTAAAAAGATGATGTAAAACTTACGGCATCAGTATAGTATAGTACTGTAAATGTACTTTTTCCTCACTAGAATTTTCTTTGTAACATTTTATTCTCTCTGGCTCACTTTACTGTAAGAATACAGTATATAATACATATACACAAAATATGTGTTAATCAATGGTTTATGTCAACCTACAAGGCTTCTGGTCAACAGTAATCTATAGTTAAGTTTTGGGGAATTCAAAAGTTATACAAGGATTTTCAACTGCATAGGGGTCATCAGCATCTCTAACCTATGTGGTATTCAAGGGACAACTGTACGATTATCATTCCCATTTTACATATGTGAAAATTCAAGCTTACAGAGGTTAAGTAACTTGACCACAGTCACACATATAGTAAGGGAAGAAATGGACTTAAACTCAAGTCTCTCTGAGTGTTTATTCAGTACAGTATGTGAAATTAAATAAGCCTTTTTATTGTCATTGAATAAACTGAAGAGTATAAAAAAAGATGATGAATTAAAAGGCAACAACAGAAAAAATAATTATTTACAAAAAATCTGTTGTTCAAGCAAACACAGGAAGTCAATACGGAAAAGATATCCTCATGAACTCTCAAAATTTGGCCATAAAATGCCCTGTCTTCTAAGTGTAGAAGACACCAATGAGCAGACACCAGAGATGCTAAGTAATGACAATACTATATACACTGGGTTCCGTTATTACTACATATTGATTTGGGGATACATGTCCCTGCAGCTCTCAGTAGATTTCAAATCAATAACCAAAACTCTGACTAGGTTAATCAACAGCTATATGATTACTGGCCATAAAACAAGTCACTATATATTTCAAAGCACTGAAATGAGATAGCATTACTGACAATAGTGCTGAATTAAATGTATGGACTTCCCCTAAATATGTTTTAAATTATGCAACGTATTTTTAAGTAACCCACTAGTAAAAGAACAAATCACAAGGGAAATTAAAAAGTATTTTGAACTGAACAATAGTGAAAAGAGAACCTATCAAAATTAGTGGGATAAACTTACAGCAGGAATTACAGCTTTAAGTGCTAATATTAAAAAAAAATGACACTTCTATTAAGAGTAAATCATATGAAATCAATGATCTAAGCTTCTACCTTAAGAAAACAGAAAAAAAGGAAAGCCTAATATAGGGGGGGGGGAAGTTAAGACCACAGGTGCAGAAAATAAAGAAAAATCAATTAAGGTGAAAATGGACAAACTCTTTGAAAAAGTTGCCAGAACTATGACAGGAACAGTAAATTGAAATACTCCTAAGAAATTAAATTTGTAACATACACACACATACAAAACCACAGGCCAAGGTAG